CTTGACCGAGAACATACCATTCTTCTCGTGACTCCAGCTCCAAAAATCATCAACGTTCATTGTGCAGATAGGGATACCCAGGATGATTTTCGCGTCCATGTTGAGAAAGGTCGCTTGGACCTTCTGTTTGTCCCAGCCCGCCGATGTCATATCAATTAATTCAGAGACATATGTAGGTGGATTGCTGCTCAGGCATCCATATGGTCTCTTCATCTCCATTCTAGGTAGCCAGTTATCATCCTAGATTTTTGTACTCTCCCCATTCCCAATTCGGCGTATCAATCCTTGCTGCAATATATCACGGCCTTCGATGATTGCCCTCCAGATCTGACTTGGAGAGCTGCCTAGCTGAGCACTCAGGATATTGCCATTCGGGTAGTATATACCCCTCAACATCCGCGCACACATACTTTGCGGTTTTTGCAACAGATGCAATGCCTGTCTCGCTAGCATTGATAAGTTAAACAACTCAAAATCCTTAAAGCCCAGGCCCCCCATACCTTTCGGTTGAGTCATCTCCTTCCAAGAGACCTAATGAGGTTTCCTTTTCCCATCTTTGCATCCCCACCAAAACTTCCTAATAAGCTTGTTTAGATGTTCACATAGCCCTCTAGAAAGTTTGAAGCAAGACATTGAATAGACTGGTACCGCCTGGGCAACAGATTTCACTAGTACTTCTTTGCCAGCCGAGGACATTGTTGTTTCTATCCATCCATGGACCTTGCTCCACAACCTGTCTTTCAGTTTCTTAAACGAGCCGTTCTTGCTGCTCCCAACATCAGATGGCATCCCGAGATATTTTTCATTGAGCGTTTCATTGGGTACATGCAAAATATTTTTTATATCCTCTCGAACATTCTCCGGGACCCCCTTGCTGAAATAAATTGATGACTTCGAATTATTAATTCTCTGCCCCGAAGACTGATAGTAGACTTCCAAGACCTGGTTCACCTCAGTAGCTCCCATACTATTTGCCTTGAAGAACAGCAGGCTGTCATCAGCGAATAAGAGGTGATTAACCGGTGGTGTCTGCGCTGCCACCTTCAACCCCTCCAAATTGGATGACTCCCTTCTCGATTTTAATAGGCATGACAGGCCCTCTGCTGCTATCAAGAACAAGTACGGGGATATTGGGTCCCCCTGTCTTATACCTCTGTATGGCTTAAAATCTTCAAGCTTCTTCCCATTAAAAAGGACAGAAAAATTAACAGTGGAAACAAGACTCATCACAATATTCACCCACTGAACCGAGAACCCCAACTTTAACATGATGGCACATAAATATTCCCATTCAACTCTATCATAGGCCTTCATCATATCAAGCTTTAGGGCACATGATTGGTGTTTCTTTGCTTTGTTCCGTTTCATGAAATGTAAACACTCATAGGCCATGATAATATTGTCAGTGATCATCCTGCCAGGCACAAAGGCTGATTGTTCCTCGGAGATTATATCCGGTAATATGAGCTTAAGCCTATTAGATATCACCTTGGACGCTATCTTGTAAATTACATTGCATAAACTTATTGGCCGGAATTGAGATAGGTGTGTTGGGGTTTTCACCTTTGGGATAAGAACCAATGTAGTGTTATTGATACTTTCGGCTGACTCCCGCCCCTCAACGATGTTTAGAACCGCTTTAGTTACCTCGCCACCACAAACATCCCAGTGGCGCTGGAAGTGGGCTGGAAAGCCATCCGGGCCCGGTGCTTTTGTGGGGAACATTTGAAACAGAGCGGTCTTGACCTCATCAGCGGTGTACGGAGCGCTTAAAACCTCATTCATCTCCTGTGAGACTTTCCTTGGCACGGTATCAAGCACCCGATCCATGCCATGGACTCCTTGGGAAGTGTACAACTCTTTGTAAAAACCGGTGTCCATTGACTCCATCTCAGGCACGTCCGTCGTCATCTGTCCATCTAGCCGCTGGAGGGATTTGATTTGATTCTTTCTCCTCCTCCTATTCGCCCTTAGATGAAAAAAATAAGTGTTCTTGTCACCATGCATCAGCCATTCAACTCTGGCCCTTTGTTTCCATAATATTTCCCCACGATGAAAAAGTTCAACCAAATTATCCACAATTTTTATTTCAGCCAAAGAAGGATCAGATCTTCCTCGTGAGTCCCGTAGCTCCTGTAGCTGACGTTGCAGCTGGCAAATCTGCATGCGCACGTTCCCGAAGTGCACCCGATCCCAATGTGACAAATCTCCTGCGAGATTCCTGAGTTTGTCCCCCAACTACTGCACATAATCGCTCGGGGTCTGGGCCCAACCCGCATGCACCACGTCCAGTAGAGCCGGGTCGCGTTCCCAGCACAGCTCGTACTTAAATCTACGAGGGGCCCGCCTGCATGCATGCATGTCTTTGATCTTCAGGTATATCGGTATGTGGTCAGACGACGCTGCATCTTTGTGTTCGGTGATTGCATCCGGGAAAGCAACACACCACTCCATATTTGCTACGGTTCTGTCCAGCCGTACCTTTGTAAACGATCCACCTGACACTTTCCTCTCAAAAGTCCAGTTTCTCCCAATATAACCGATATCTGTCAGACCGCACGTGTCCAGTGCATCACGGAAGGCATCCATTTGGGCTTGGCTTCGGCTACCAACACCATCATGTTCATGAGCATGGAGTACTTCATTAAAATCACCCATTACAACCCAGGGTAGATTGCTAGAACCCGCTATCCCTTTGAGCATATCCCAAGTTTTATATCGTTGGTTAACTTGTGCCTCACCATAAACAAAAGGTTGCTCTGATTTTTGTATCAAGAAACTCATCAACCGTAACATCAATGTGATAATCAGAGTAACCAATAACTTCGAGCTTTATTTCATCATTCCAAAATATTCCTAAACCACCACTTCTACCACGACTATCAACAGCAAAAGTTTTATTAAAGCCTAAAGACTCCACCATATTCTCTACTCGAGAGCCCTCAATCTGGGTTTCAACAATGCATAATATTGAGGGGGCAAGTTGGCTCATGAGGTCACGAAGCTCTCGAACTGTCGCGGGTTTGCCAGCCCCGCGGCAGTTCCAACATAGCAGACTCATTGCGCTCGGCGCGACTCCTCTAGGGAGCCCGCCAACCGCGCATCATAAGTTTTGTTGCTGGTGATATTAATCCCACTGCTTCTGCTATTTTCCAAAGGTGTCTGCTTGTTCCTCTTGGGCTCCTGTTTCGAAGAAGGGCTAATAGGCACCACCGAGGCCGAGGTGCTTGTCTCGTTCTCAACCAGCATAATAGTTTTGGCCACATCGTTTCCATCCTCATGACGAGCTGCTCCCCTCTTCCTACTAAGCCCAGCTTCACCCATATCTGCATCCTCATCCGGCATGAATTTGTTGTTGTCATCCCTCTTGTCATCAGCAGAGTCGGCCGCCGTTGCGCCCGCCTCTGCGTCCGCCTCTACGGCCTCGACCAGCCCCGGGACCTTGGCCCGTACGCATAACCCATGCAGCTCGCAATTCTTTGAAGATCAGTGCTGATGGTGGATGAACCCGATCTCCATGCTCTTTAAACAAATGCCCCAGATGTCCGCACACAGCACACCAGTCCGAAAGCTTTTCATATTTCACTCTATATATCTGCCGCTTCCCCTCCCTGATCATGGAAACTGCATTCTTCAGAGGTTTCGTCACATTTATCCGAACCCAGACACGGTGAAAATTTCCCGTGAAGTCCGGTGATTGGGGTTCTGCAAAGAGAACTTCACCGACCTTTGATGCAAGGGAAGGCACCAGATGGGCGTAAAGAGACGGCACATCGTGCACTTGCACCCATATCTCTATTGTATCAAGTGGTACTGTCGTTGGTTTCGCTATACCATCATAGGGTTTAAGGATGACTGCATCCCCCCTGAAGTGCCATGGACCATCTTGGTAACCGTCTCCCAATCCCCAAGACAAGAGAATTGGACTGTGTAAAGATTGTTCTCCAAGGGCTTGAACTTCACCTCTTGGGCCAGATCCCATGCCGCCCTCATATTCTTGAAAAACCAGTACTGACTACAAGTTTTGGTGCAATGAACCCTAGCGAGTGCCATCCATCGAGCAGCCTCAGGCGGTGCAGCTTCCTCATCAAAGACCACATCATCTAGATCCTCCTCTCGAAGGCCTAGTTCCTTCATCATTGATTCCATCTCATCGATCTCCTGCGCCCCCGTGGAAGCAGCGCCCGCAGATGTGCTTGAAGCCATCTCGAAAACCTAGCCCGATCGAAAAGTTTCGGGCCTTGTGGGGAAACCCTAATTCCTCTCCTCCACCCGTACCGACCAGGACCTTGGTCGTCCCAAGGGACTCCCCTGATCGCAAGCAGCTCCGGGAGGAATCAATGAAGAGGTAGGGGATGCAGATCTCGACGGCGGCGAAAAATCGCCCCGGGAGGACTATAAACCCTAACTAGAGGGAAATCTTTGGAGGTGTGAGTACACCTACCAAACTATGTGTAGAATATTGTTTTTATCCTGTATTTATTCAGCCATGCCCAACTGAGTCGCAGCTTACCAAAAGCGAACCTGGTTAGTGATTTGGATTTCAAATGTAAATCGGCCTAGCCCAGAAAGAGTCGCCAGACTACAGAACAGCTAGCCCAGAAACCCGGCCCACGTGCGTTACCTCTGCGGCGTGCCGTCATGTGCTCGACCGACCACTCCGCCCACGCACTCACGCCCCACGCTCCGCGTGGCCAAAAGCAAAAAAAAAAACCTAAAAAAAATCTCAATAGATAAAGGCACCCGTACGCGCAAATAGAGCATCGCCCCAGGGACCTGCACGCATAACCGCCGTGCCGTGTTTCTGGGGATCGACATCGCACGCACGCACCTGGCACCTCCCTCCCCGAATCCATCCATCCCACCGCTCTTTTAGCAGCTGCCCCCGTTGCTTGCGTCCAACTCAACCCCACTCCTCCGCCTCCCCCCTCTCCCATCTGCTGCCGCTGCTCTGCTCTGCTCTGCTCGCCCCTACCCGCGATCGCCGCGGCCAGCCCGCCATGGACGAGGAGTACGACGTGATCGTGCTGGGCACGGGGCTCAAGGAGTGCATCCTCAGCGGCCTCCTCTCCGTCGACGGCCTCAAGGTGAAGCCCGCCTCCTCCCCCCTACCGATCGATCTGTGCCTTTCCCCGTTCCAGCTGCCTGCCGTGACGCCGCTCAGTCAGCTCCCGTGCGCGTGTTTTCCGACGGAGCCCGCGCGCTCGGCGCGCGGGCGGGGTGGTTGCTGCTGCTTCCAGGTAGTAGATCGGGCGATGGTAGTGGCGCCCGGCTTGATCCGGACCTGATTTCAGCAGATGGGCGATTGTTTTCGCTGCCACGCAGTGTCCCTCTGTTGTTCGTGGTAGGAACTGTTGCGAAACTTGGCCGGTCGTTCGACTTGGGGGAGGCAGCCTGTAGTGATGTGGAGGTGGGGACGCTGGGGCGTGGCTGAATCGGAAGGTAAACTGCAGTGACGGCATCTCGCTCAGTTTATGCTAGTAGATGTGATCCATGCTTGTAAGGCGCCGGTATGAGTTTTGCAACGCTGGGGCACAGCAGTTAGGGAGGAAAAAGGTAGGGCGTGGTTTGAGTTGTTGTGGCATGACATGCTTACCCATTTTGGAAGCATGATCTTTTATGGTGTATTAATTGGGTGAGATGCTGCTGATCCAAAAGTGGTGGGATGCTCGATACATGTTGTAGTCTGAAGGGGTGCAAAAATGGCGATATTGCTAAATGTGTTCTAAGGATCCTCCTTTGCTTTTTTTTTTTTTGCAGGTTTTGCACATGGATAGAAATGACTACTATGGAGGAGATTCCACCTCCCTCAACTTGAACCAGGCAAGCAGCTATATGTCTCTATCGAGTGGTTTAAGTTAAGATCGCAACTACCTAGAATGAGGTTATAATTGTATCAATGGGTACTTCTTGAAAATATATGTATATAAACAAAAGTTACTCTGTTTGTTTTGTTAGTTGATATGATTGATTTAGTCTTGTAGTTGTTTTTAGTTATACCTCTTTAATGTTTGTATATGTTGTCGACAGCTCTGGAAGAAGTTCAGGGGGGAAGAAAAACCACCGGCGCATTTAGGTGCGAGCAGAGACTACAATGTAGACATGGTTCCAAAGGTGTGACATGCCCCTTTTGATTAAATCCATCTTTCTGTATGCAGCAAATATTAACTGAGTATACAATAAATGTACTCTTTTCATTGCAAAAATATTTACTAACTTATTTGTGGCAGTCAAGTGATTTAGCAATAAGGAAAACAGTTGGTGTATGATCAGTAAATAGTCTTCCAAACATGGTTACCGGAGTTGTGTAACACCCTTTGAAACCTGTCGGTTGGAAATAGATGACAATCAGTAAGGATTTGGTGTCCGATTCGTAGATGGGTGCCAAACTGCCAAACCAATGAAATCAAGATAAATTAGAAGATGGGAGGATATGATTTCTTCCAGCTGCCATCCGCCACTAATACCATTCTTAGGAGCAGTGACAGGGAGGATGGGGCTGTGGCCTGTAGCCTGCAGCCTTGAGACATTGACCACCTGGGTCTGGTGAGGATGGAGGGTTGGAGACTTTCTTTAACCATATCGTCTTTTAGATGGAAAGGCGGCGCTGGTACAGCAGAGCGCTAGGGAGATAGGTTACGGTACTATGTTTCTTTAGAAGTTTCCGTCGCTACCTTAGGGTTCACTTCCTAACTAGTTTGTCCGCGAATGGGGATGTTCTCTAGTAAAACCCTTGTGCCTAGATATCTGGTTTGCGTATCCCATCTCCATCTTTGTCCGCGAATCAGAAATGTACACCTATTAGGGAACCCAACTTTTGTATGTGGCAAACCCATTGATCCGCGAATCTGGTAACCATGGTTCTAAAGCAGATTGGGGAGTGATGTGTGGGCCTGATGGAGTAATTTTAGCAGATAGAGCATGCAACCTTGTCTAAATCGAATTGGTCTGTGCTAAATTTAGCATCATACTAGTAGGCGCCAAACTGTCAATGGCTTTGCAACTCCTTCAAGAGGCTTGTGGCCAAGAAGTACTAAACATTTTTCAATGTTTCCTTGCATTTTTTTGCTTCATTTTAATGCGGCTCCTTTGTATACAGTTTTGACCAATAACCGCTCAACTCTCTTCCTATGTTGGAACCCTTGTCATGACTCCACAATCCTGATAGTGTTTCCCATTACTTGTATTTTACTATTTTTATTTTTATTTCTTTTCATAGAAACTTGTGGTTTTATTAACAATAAACAGATGCTTGGTTCAGATTATGAAATGCTATAAACCTACAGGCTACATGTAATATGTTGAGATTGTAAACATTTGATAAAAATAGTATCTGTCTTTCTATCTCTGACCAGTTTATGATGGCGAACGGAACTTTGGTTCGTACTCTCATTCACACTGATGTAACGAAGTATCTGTCTTTCAAAGCTGTTGATGGAAGCTTTGTCTTCAGCAAAGGGAAGGTATTGCTTTAGCTTACACGCATACCTCCTGTCTTGTATGGATGGCACCTTTGTTGGACTCGTCATAAGCCATTCTTTGATCTCATGATTCTAAACACCACTATTCAAAATGGCCACCTACATTCTGTTGTTGTGTTGCATTTGCATCAGATTCACAAGGTTCCTGCCACTGACATGGAGGCTCTAAAATCCCCTTTAATGGGCATATTTGAGAAACGTAGAGCAAGGAACTTCTTCATTTATGTCCAAGATTACAATGATGCTGATCCAAGAACACATCAAGGATTGGACCTTACAAGGATGACAACTAGAGAATTGATCGCGTAAGTATCTCATCTGTTATGGCATCAATGGTATATCAGATTTTCTTTTGGGGTAAAAAGGACTATATAAGGTAGTTGCTTATTTTCTGTTTAGTGGCTGAAATGTACAAAAACTAGTTCTGTCTGCCGCATTGTTAGGAAAGAATACATGCTTGTTCTAATTGCACATGCATCTTCTGCATTACCTTGATTTTTATTGTTTTTTTTTCAGAAGTAGGGATTGGTTTAATAATTTACTCTCTTTTGAGAAAACAGTAGAGTTGCAGGACATTTGATTTCAGTATCATGTACTGATCTGCACTTACCATTAAAGGTGGAAGGATATCCCTTGTTACTTCCTGCACTGCAAGTAATCTTATTTGTTTTTTGTTTTTTGTTTCCAGGAAACACGGATTGAGTGATGATACTATAGATTTCATTGGCCATGCGCTTGCTCTTCACAGGGACGATCGCTACCTAAGCGAGCCAGCAATTGATACTGTTAAAAGAATGAAAGTATGCCCTGGCTATTTTTTTTTAGTTTTTTCTGTTCTTAAGAAGATAGAAGGTTTCTGGCTTGTTAACATCAATATAATTTCTATGATCTGCCACCCTTGTATATTTGTTCTTTGGTGATATTTCTGCTATTTAATTGTGTTTTATCAATGGAGCATAATGAAACTTTGTTGCTTGCTGCTAGCTCTATTCTGAGTCTCTTGCACGGTTCCAAGGAGGCTCACCTTATATTTACCCATTGTATGGGTTGGGTGAGCTGCCACAGGTCAGTTGTTTTTCGATTACTTGAGCTAATATATTTTCTACTGCATGTTTGCCTTTAAGATGCTTATATGCTAAAGTGCTTTCTTACTGTTCAGGCTTTTGCACGTCTAAGTGCTGTTTATGGTGGCACTTATATGTTAAATAAGCCAGAGTGCAAGGTTGGTCTTACCGCATCTATGCTAATCATTTATGCCATTATGTGAATTCTTTTACCCAATACTCTATTGTAGGTTGAATTTGATATGGAGGGGAAAGTGTGTGGTGTTACATCAGAAGGTGAAACTGCCAAGTGCAAGAAGGTTGTCTGTGATCCTTCTTACTTGGCCAACAAGGTATATATCGCTGTTTTCAATTGATGTTATACTTTTGTTTGGACATGTTTGTACCAAATTCACTGAAATTCTCATGGTCCATCTGAACTTACTTAAGTTTTGAACCTTCACGGTTTGGTCTCTTGTAATTCTTATTGTCTGCATACTGTTTTGCTACACACTAGCATTGTCCCATGACGTTTACTCTGTGAACAGGTAAGGAAGATTGGAAAAGTTGCACGAGCAATTGCTATTATGAGCCACCCAATTCCAAATGCAAATGATTCCCACTCGATTCAGATTATTTTACCACAAAAGCAACTTGGGCGCAAGTCAGACATGTGAGGGCTCACTTTCTGTCTCAGTTCTCAAATAATTATCGCTGGATAAATTTCTAAATTCAGTTTCTCCATTGCTTCTTTGTGACATGCATGCTGGTATATATATTGTAGGTATGTCTTCTGTTGCTCGTACACCCACAATGTCGCACCAAAAGGGAAGTTCATTGCATTTGTGTCTGCAGAAGCAGAGACTGATAACCCACAGTCCGAACTAAAGCCTGGAATCGATCTACTTGGTCCAGTAGATGAATTGTTTTTTGATATGTATGACAGATATGAACCCGTCAATGAACCTTCTCTTGATAATTGCTTTGTCTCATCGGTAAGTTTTGCTTTATATATGACAATACAGTGTTGGTCTCATATTGTAGATGTTCATGGCAGTTTTTTCTTTTCTTTCCCTCTTTGCAGAGTTATGATGCCACTACTCACTTTGAGACAACTGTCACAGATGTTCTTAATATGTACACACTGATTACTGGAAAGGTAAGCTTGAGATTCACTCCTTTTACCTTTGCAATGCTGGTGGGCGATTAGTAGTTTCTGTTGATGTGGGGTAAACTCTGAGAATTCACAATTTGTTCCTGAGGACTGCCGTCTATATTTTATTCACTAGTGATTCTCTATTGGCTTTTTTTTCTGTAGAATTTGGACCTATATATATCTAGCTCTTGTATCGGCAATTTTGGTACCTAATAAATTCCACATTTTTGTGGCTGAAAGCTGTTTTGGCATAACTCTCTGGTCTTCTTGCAGACTGTTGATCTTAGCGTTGATCTCAGCGCTGCCAGCGCTGCAGAAGAGTACTAGATCTCATCAAACCAAGCATTTTCTTCAAGACTATACTAAATGGAGGAACACCACCGGAATCCTACTGCAGGATGGTCATGTGTGACATGAGCTGCATACTGCGTAGGGGGTTCAGGTGCGTAGGGGGTTCAGGTCCACGCCTGCCAGCAGCACTATGCGAAATTATTATATGTGGAATGGTGCTGATTTCCTTCGTTAACTTCCATATTGATCCACTGGGTTGTAAACGTTATTCTATCGTAACGATGGCTTTAGCATGTTCATGTTCGTCTTGTTGATGTATTCTACAGTTATACATATTGGTGTCTTGGATGTATTTTCCTTCCGAGTAAGGTCAATGTGGTTTATTTTCTTTCGTTCAAGAAAGTAAGCATGCAGATGGTTTTGAAATGTTACGTGAGAAACATAGAAAGTGGGTTTGAAGTTTGAACCAAAGGAAGTATCAAAATTTAGAGATTGTTTGATTTATTTGCAACAATTGTCGATCTTCTACATAAAAATTGGTAACAAGGAATATTGCACTCACTTGGGCAACAAGGCTGCTGTAGAAGAAATAGTTAAGGATATCTTTGTGCAGTCTGGCAAAAATCATCTTATTTGGAAATGTGTGTTTCCTTGCAATGGAAGTGTGTTGTACTTCCTCTGATGATCTAAACGGTCTTATATTTATTTACAAGGGAGTATATGTTTGCTGTGTTTCACACATCTGGTTTTTGTTGTTGCTGCACATGTTTTGCTAGTCTTTCGATAAGTTGATTTTGTGTTGCATACATCTAGCATTTTTGTTGTGTAAGCTTAAAGTTTTTGCACGCATCAATTAGAATTTAGTTCAATTTACTCACAATTCGTTGCATGAGTTAAAGATTTTTTTTGTGTGTGGTGAGTCAATAACATCATTTCTTTACAAATTTGTATACTTTTGTTGTGTAGTGAGTCAATAACACCATTGTTTTTACGAACTTGTTGCATGAGATAATATGGAATATATCTAGTGGTTTGGAGGTTTAGTTGCCTTATCGACGCTATAATTTGCTGCCTAAGTTTTTGTTGCTCATCGTATGTCTCATTCTATCATCTTTTTAGTTTGTTGCCCAAATTTTTGTTTGTCTTATTTTATGTCTCATTTCTATCATCTTTTTGGGAAGCTACCGGCTAGTGTTCAATGCTTGAGGAATAGGCGTTGGAGCCAGTGGCGGATCTAGGATCTGACAATATGGGGGCAACCATGGAAACACTAGATGATACCCCGCACGTTATTGCGGGAATATTTTGCAACATATCTCAATGTGATTCATTGTATGAAATATATATAAAAGGATAAAACTAAGACTACATATAATTTATTATGTTTGATTACTATGTAGTTGTAAAATGTTTATTAAATATAAATAAAATAAAATAATAGAAATTCGCATGTTGAGATAGGTCTCTTTTCATGCAGGTTTCATGATGAAGTGGCATGCTTGCATGTTGCGAGACATATGGTAGTGAGTGTAGGCCTTTTCTCGTGCATGTTGTGTGATAATGTGGCATGCTTGCATGTTAAGAGAAATAGTTAGTGGGGGCTAGCTATTTAGATATAGAAGATTTCAATGACTAGATTTTTTTATTATAGTACACCAAAATTATTATATGATGGATAAACTTTACAGTAGTAAAAGAAAATTTGCAAATTGTTTGTGGGGGCAGTGGCGCTAATGGCCCTCGCACTAGATCCGCCCATGGACGGAGCCCTTTGAGTTTAAGTTGAAAAGGGGAATTCATGTAAACTTGTGTACGGGCAAACTTCCCTTGTGTGTGCACTGATTCTTTGGGTTAAGTGAGGTAAAAAGGAAGGGTTGACCAAACAATTAGCAGATTATTAAGCAGAGCGGTTGGGTACTACTATTCATGGGTTGTTCACGACCAAATTTTTATGGTTGCCGTTTCGAAGATGTGCCTTAGGTGCACTCCTCTATTTAGGTAAAAATAATACGAACGAAAGCCTAATAGTCATAAATATTTCCAGTAAGGCATATGACACATCGAAAGGTCATGATATAACCAAATAACATAGGCCTTACTTATTACAAATTTAGTTGGCTTCAAACCACCAATGGATTCACTTCACTAGCAAAATTGATCTGTAGAATCAACTTTGTCACAAGAGTACATCTGGACGTGCTTTAGACAATTGCACTGAAAATGGTCTGAAACTAGATTCGCTTTAGTGGCAAAGCTGATTTCAAATAGTTGTTTCTTTCAGCTTCTAATTTTTTTTATAAAAATTTGTTGCCTAACGCTGAAACAAACATGGCCTAAAGTCTACATCACAAGACACCTTTACTATTTATTTACCATTCACACAGACATTGAGAAACACAAATAATCACTTGTGAACAACATTTGGAGAACACAATTTGAATTATCCACTACTCATAGTAGAACATGTCCCTGTTTGTTGTGTGCGTATCAAAATTGAATTCAATTGTTTTGATATTGTAAAATTAGTATAGAGTTAAGAATATTAAAAAAATCGAAATGTTTGAACCTAAATATGGGAGCCACAAATGTTTATCTTGGCGAGCTTCTCGCGCAGATGGTAGCATGTTCATCTTAGATACAACTTATGGCATCTGCGAAGACTTTACACTTACTCTTGATTTTGTCATATATATGATGATTGTTGACGTGAAGGAGAAAGCATGATGCAAGAGAATAATAGAAAATATCTCATTCTCCTTGTCCATGTATTTTAGTGATAACTTCTGACGTAGTGCTCATTAATGCACATTATTGTTTGAGTTGAAGGCGGCATCTCTATTAAAACAAGAGGTCAATTTTATAGCTAGGCGACTACAACCTCTAGTAGAGACATGCATGCGGGAGAGTATCAGAATTAACAAAGTGTCATCTACCTCCTACACTACTTGATTATCAGACAAAAAAATTAGAAGAAAAAAAATCCTCATGAATCTTCGCTTAAAAATCAACAACGTAGAGGTTAAGACAAGACAGGGTTATTTCTCATCTATACTAGAAAAGGTGTGGTGAGCAATATTCAAATCATTTTTAACCTAAATCATTAAAAGATATTCATATGACGTGGAGAGACTAAGTCTGGTTTTATCCAGGGGCCTGCACGCGAAAGAGACGGGTCGTGTTGTCCTCCTCCGAGTGCCATCGCATGCGCGTCCGACTTCTTCCGGATTCCCGAACGCCAAATCCCATTCCCATCCCCACCCCCAACTGCTGCCCTTTTGTCAACTCCACTTCTCCCCACCACCGCCGCCCTCCGTGCTGACGCCTCTTGCTCCCCGGAACCATCGCGACAAGCTCGCCGAGAGGCCGCCGCCATGGATGAGGAGTACGACGTGATCGTGCTGGGCACGGGGCTCAAGGAGTGCATCCTCAGCGGCCTCCTCTCCGTCGACGGCCTCAAGGTGAGTCGCCGCCGATCGGTCGCTCTCCGCCCCTGTCTCGCCCCCGATCCGTCGCTTCCATGCTTGGGTTCCGCGTCCCTGTCACCGCTCAGCGTTCCCTATCTTGCTTCCGCTGCCCGGGGTGGACTGGATCACTGGAGCGCGCTGCCTGGTACACCAGGCGGTGCTGCGCTTGTTTGATCTGGACTAGATTTGCTGCTAGATAAACACTTCGTTTGTACTAACTCTGTTTACCTGCGCCTTAGTCGATCCGAAGGGGGCCAGCCACTGATTCGCCAGTTTTGTGAGCTTTCCATGCTGAGCGAGGTGTATTCTGAGGGGAGGGCGACATGTGTGTTGCATCGCCCAAGCTTCTGACTTCTAGCCTGGTTCTTCATGCTGGATGTAAACTAGCGAGGCCAGAATTCGTGATGGATCCAGGCGTTTTTGCAACATTAAGTGGGTGGTGTGTAATTGCATCTGAATGTCACACGCTGGTACTAATTCGGATTATTCATGGCGAATCTGGTGGCCTCGGCATGCTTGGAGCGATGCCGAGAAGTAAGGACCTGGTCCGAGTTGATCCTCAGTGAAGCCGTGCTCAAGGCGCTTCGGCAGCTCCCCGGCCATGCCAGACCCCCTGATGCTACCTAGTGCCTCAAAAAGGAGGAGGAGGGGGGATTCCCGGTCTCTGCATATCCATGTACTTGAACCATCTTTATTGCAAAGTATTAACAATTCTTAGAAAAATGGAAAAATTTGCTCAAGGGCTGGACTGAAATGCAGACAAGATTACATGTCACACTCATGCAGCAAAAACACTATTGCTACACCACCATCCATATCGGTTGAACATAGCCTGTGCTACCATGTCCAAGTGGCTGCGCCCATAGGCTGGAGACTCGAAACTCTGTGTCATCGTGACACTCTTCTTCTTAATACAAAATGGCACGCACTTAGATGTGTGTTCAAGGAAAAAAAAAGGAATGATTCACACGACTCCACAGTGGTCCAACTGGTCTCTTCATAGGAGTAAAGATAAAGATTAGTGAGTTACTATTAATCATTACTGGAAATGGCGCATCATGTAGAATTTATGCATCCATTTGGTGTAGATACAGAAACCCTGGGTATTGGCTGCGGACCGGTGGCTCGCTGTCGCCGCCCCTCTGGTGCTCATGGTGTGCCTCTGTGCCATTGTCCTTTGCCACCACTTCTTGATTTGAGCTTCATTTCAAACTCGATTCAGTCTATGCCAGGGGCAGAGCTGTGCAGAGGGACGTTGGCTTCAGGTGAACCCAACAACAACAAACAACAACAACAAAGCCTTTAGTCCCAAACAAGTTGGGGTAGGCTAGAGGTGAAACCCATAAGATCTCGCGACCAACTCATAGCTCTGGCACATGGATAGCAAGTTTCCACGCACCCGTGTCCATAGCTAGTTCTTTGGTGATACTCCAATCCTTCAGGTCTCTCTTAATGGACTCCTCCCATGTCAAATTCGGTCTACCCCGACCTCTCTTGACATTCTCCGCACGCTTCTTATTCTAAAAAGACATCTCCATAAGAGTGGCTGAGTTTTTACGTTGGCTCGCCAAGCCTATCACAACCCTCCTCCTTTACCCGGGCTTGGGACCGGCTATGTTGAGACAACATAGCCGGAGTTGGTTCAGGTGAAACCAAAGAAAAAAAAATGTAAATCAAGAGAAATTAGTGATACTCATTATTGATTTAGAGGATATGACACCAGCAGTCTGCCGGTCCAGATTCGCGCACGGTAGACGCCAAAGTCAAACAGCAGCAACAGAAAATGCAAGAATAGAACAAAGCCATATGCCTACGTGCCTATGCGAGAGAGAACATTGTTAGAGGGAAAACAGAAAGAGAGATGGAAGGAAGTCATAGGACAAGAGAAAAGGAAAGGGAGACTTGTCGGGGCCACTGTCCGATGTAGTGCTATGTCCGGTCTTCCTGCGCAGACAAGGTTCAAGTGGTTTGTCTTAACACAAACATTTGATGCAGAGGTGCATATTTCCTCGTGTTCCGCAAAAAGTTCTTGCTAGAAAATATCCTTATGATGAAATTAGAATAGACAAGGATGTTAGTTTGTTTGGGAGATTTTGTCAGATGAGATACTGCGGTGAATTAGTTAGTTGGAGGAATTTGATTAGGTTTTTTCTTACCATTTTTCCCAAGAGTATAATTTTGACATAGGTTATTAATATTTGGTTGTGTGAAGCAGTTTTCTGTAGGAGTTTTCACTTAATTTTATTTTAGAGATGGGATAAAGAATCAGAGGAAGGTACAAGCGAGTTTTTTTTTTGCGGGTAAAGGTACAAGTGAGTTCATATGCCTTCCTCTCCAGCCTATTGAACACTCCCCACAACCAGAAACCACTGAGGGGAAATCTCAAAACGAACTTGCTAACAATCTTATGTCTTCAAGCAAATTCCTTCTAGCAAAGTGGCCTCATTATTTTTTCATCGCTAACAATATAATCTCTACTAACAACTACCCCTTGATCTGGATACGCTTTTGATACAAATATGAACATAATCATTTCTTTTAAACAACAGGAAATTTTAGTAGTGCTTTTTTGCTATCCCAAAAAGTGCAAAGAATGAATTTTGAAACACATTAAGGGCCTGAATATTTGTTCACTGGCAACGACATGCTACACAATTATAGGCATATATGAGTATTTGTTCTGAGTCAGGATCTTGAGTAGCTCATGAGCCTTGTATCTTTTTATGGCCCTTTTTGAAAGCACTTGCATTTGTAAAGCAATGTAGTAATACTGAAAATTCATGTATAGAACCCCCTTACGAACATGTGTTTGATGATATTGCAGGTTTTGCACATGGATAGAAATGACTATTATGGTGGAGATTCCACTTCTCTCAACCTTAATCAGGTAAGCAAGTCCAATGCTGGAGGTTCGAGATTTTGTGAAGTTTTTTTTATGCTATTACACGTTGTTCTTTAATTGATTTTGTCAGAGCTTTTATCATTTATATTAACCCCAATAAATTCTTGTTTGGGGACAGCTCTGGAAGAAATTTAGAGGGGAAGACAAGCCCCCGGCACATCTAGGCTCAAGCAAAGATTACAACGTAGACATGGTTCCAAAGGTGCAACAGTCCCCTCCCATCCAAAACTATCTTTACAACACAGCTACACCACCTATGTTTGCTATGATTACACAAATAAACCCTCATGATGGTGCATAGTTTTTTTCTTTATGGGAAACATGCGGAGCTTCTTTATGTAATTAATGTGGTGATTCACTGATGATTCAACAAAGTATGGAATTCTCATGTATTACTAACAGGAAAAATAGAACAAAAAGAACAACCCTGTAAGGTAGCTGTCCAGATTTATGTTTATTTGTTCATTGATTATCACAAAACGTTTCTGTGATCAGTTTATGATGGCAAATGGGACATTGGTTCGAACCCTCATTCACACTAATGTAACGAAGTATTTGTCATTCAAAGCTGTTGATGGGAGCTTTGTCTTCAGCAAAGGGAAGGTAGATTCTTCAGCTTATTTCCTTTTGTTTTTATCATCACATATCCTGTATCTTCCATAGGTTGTTAGGTTCTGTAATCTGATCCTATGCTAGAGGTGCAACTTACCTTGTTTCTGTTATCATGTTCGATCAGATCCACAAGGTTCCCGCGACTGATATGGAGGCTCTGAAGTCTCCTTTGATGGGCCTTTTTGAGAAACGCAGAGCAAGGAACTTCTTCATTTATGTCCAAAATTACGATGAAGCTGATCCAAAAACACATCAGGGATTGGACCTTACTACGTTGACAACTAAAGAATTGATAGCGTGAGTGCATTGATGATTGCTCCATTCTGTTCATTGCTTTGTCAGTAATGTTAGTCATAAACAAATTGCAACACTCCCAAGTCGCCGACAATTATAGTGGTGTCAGGGTAGTACACAATGCCTGGGAACCATGCTTCCAAATGTGGATGACCTTTTCAGGAAAATCAAGTATGAACGCAAAGAGTTGGTTCAGTTGCACGTATACAGTATCGTTCTTGTCCAACTTTTCAGTTTCCTCAGAAATTCGCTTACTGTATTGTCTTCCCAACTGTGAACCTATTTCAGTTACTTTTTAGCTTCTTTTAATAATAACTAGTCCCTGGCCTTCAACCTTCTACATGGTGTGAAAGGATATTTCATGTGCTTGTTATTATCCCTTTCTGCAAAATAACTATATTTTCTGTTTGTGTTTTTGCAGAAAGTACGGCTTAGTTGATGATACAGTGGATTTCATTGGCCACGCGCTTGCTCTCCATAGGGATGATCGTCACCTCAATGAACCAGCACTTGATACTGTGAAAAGGATGAAAGTAAGTCTTGACAAAAACAATGGTAGATGGTCCTTGTTTGGTATTATAAGTTCATCATGTACTCCCTCTGTCTCACAATATAAGATGTTTTTGCAAGCTAGAACAGCTTGCAAAAACGTCTTACATTGTGGGACAGAGGGAGTAGTTGCCAATCATTCATAATCCAGTCCCTGTAATTGTTCTTCCTTTTAGCAGTGTCATTGCTTTTATTTGATTGTGTGACTCATGGATTTCGATTACATCTTACCGTCATCTGCTTTTAGTTATATTCGGAGTCTCTTGCACGTTTTCAAGGGGGCTCGCCTTATATTTATCCTCTATATGGGCTGGGTGAGCTGCCACAGGTCAGTGTGTTTTCAGTTTGCTATACCTTTATTGTCATACTGCACATACATGTTACTAAGATGCTCATTTGTTACAATGCTTTTTTTATGCTACAGGGTTTTGCACGTCTAAGTGCTGTTTATGGTGGCACTTACATGTTAAGTAAGCCAGAATGCAAGGTATTATTTGTCACCTTCCTATTAGTATAACCCACATGATCTGTATGGTAAATCACAATTTCTTTCACCTGTGCCACCTAATTCATGTAGGTTGAATTCGATATGGAAGGAAAAGCGTGTGGTGTTACATCAGAAGGTGAAACCGCAAAATGCAAGAAAGTTGTCTGCGATCCTTCGTACTTGACCAACAAGGTGAATATTCTTCTTGCCTGCACTCTGTCAAGGTTAATACATGGCAAACATTTAGTCTAACTTTGGCCTTTTATCTTCATTATTCCCTTCCCTTCCCTTCTTGAGAAGTTCATATTTACTACAACCTCGTCTGGAGCTTTTGTTATGCATTGCTTCCAATGATGATGTTTTGCTCATGTTTTTCAACAGGTCAGGAAGATCGGCAAAGTTGCACGTGCAATTGCTATTATGAGCCATCCAATCCCAAATACAAATGAGTCCCACTCAGTCCAGATTATTTTGCCACAGAAACAACTTGGACGCAATTCAGACATGTGAGCCCTATCTCAAGCCCAAACAATTTTCATTTGATGGATGACTAGATTTACAGCTCATCACTTGATTGAATGATTACGCAATCCTCATTTATGATATTTCTATTGGTCTGCTCTTGTTAGGTATGTCTTCTGTTGCTCATACACCCACAACGTCGCACCAAAAGGGAAGTTCATTGCATTTGTCTCTGCAGAAGCGGAGAGTGATAATATACAATCCGAACTCAAGCCTGGCATTGATCTACTTGGTCCAGTAGATGAGCTCTTTTTTGATATGTATGACAGATATGAACCAGTGAACGAACCATATCTTGATAATTGCTTCATCTCAACGGTAAATTTTGCAGTATATGTATCATAACAAGAGGTTTTGTTTATTTAGACTGTTATAGATGTTTATGACAGTTTATTTCTCTGTAGAGCTATGATGCTACCACACATTTTGAGACAACTGTGACAGACGTTCTTAACATGTATACAATGATCACCGGAAAGGTAATATTTCATCTTCATTTTCCTTTCAAAATTTTAAATTCTTGATAGGGGAAAATATCAGGTGATACCACCACTTAGATGCTCCCATAATACCAATTTGAAAAATTCAAATTTAAATGTTTCAAAAATTCTGAGAAAAATCATGAATGTTCACAACACATGTATCTGCAACCCCTAAAAAAAATTCATATCTAAATTCGATATATACTACCTCCGTCTCAAAATATATGACGTTTAGCCTACAAAAACGTCTTACATTTTGAGACGGAGGTAACATTGAGAAACAAAAAAGACAAATCCAAATGTGAAAAGTGTAGTTTTTCACACTATTGATGTTTTGGTCCTTATTGACACTATTCATGCTGGATTTGTATTTTTTGTTTATCAATGTGTACTTTGAATTTGGATCTGAATTGTTTAGGGTTGCAGACACGTGTGTTGTGAACATTCACAATTTTCTTGGAGTTTTTTGAAACATTTAGATTTGAAATTTTCGAATTGGTAGCTTGGGATCATCTAAGTGGTGGTATCGCCTGATATTCTCACTGCCTGCTAGTAGTTGAAGCTAACTACGCCTGTACATGCTGTTAGTATCTCCTTTATTATGGTATATAAGTACCTTTCCTGCACTCTCCTCCTGTTCCGTTGTATGGTTTGTTAAACAAGGGGAGTAAATTGCACAAGAACACCATGTAAAGGTGTTAAATGGGTCACGAAAAGAGGTGCTGACTAGCTCCACTTTACATTCTAACTTTATTCTTGTTTTCTCATTGCAGACTATTGATCTCAGCGTTGATTTGAGTGCTGCTAGTGCTGCTGAAGAAGAATACTAGATTTCATAATCAAAATACGGCCGTTCTCTTCAAACACTGCAGGACAAACCATAACAAATGTCCTGACTATTTCACCCGCAGATCAAAAGTTTGTGTTATGGCCATTGTCTTCTGCATGCTTGTCGCTTGCAGCAATATGGAAAAAAATGTTGGTTCCAGACGATTGAACCATGGTGGCTTTATTTACTACTGTACTAGAAGAGTAATTAGTGAATGATGTGAACAGTGAGCAGGGTTGGCTATGAACTTTGTGGTTTTATGTATGTATCATAATATAACTGTTAAAATAAGTTTACAATTCTGGCTACGAACAGGGTTGATATTCCAAATCGTTTGCACGCACCAACTGTACGACTCATCTTTTCTGTTTCCAGAAAAGCAATCAAGCAGCAGGACCGATCCAGCGATGGCAGTGACTAGCTTCTTGGTGGTCTTGCCAAGGTCAAATTTGGTCGCCTTGGCCTTCACATTGGCGCAGGTGTGTCCCTACTAGCGGCGTCTGCGACGGATCTTGGCGGTAGAGTCCGTGACCCTCTTGCTAGCCCATGGAACTTGCACAGCTTGAACTCTCATTCATGCACGTAAAGTTGGATTCCTCTTCCAATTCCAAGATTCAAAGCCGTTTCCAGGAAACTTGCTCATCCAGCAGAGCAGGGTGTGTAAGGGAAAGCTGCATCCGCCTCTCTGCATGGTAGTTCGCAGACGAGTTCGAAATCTGCTCGACACAGATTGCCTAAGTCCTGAATTTTTAAGATGTTCCAGTCATATGCCATTCGTCTTGCTTTTTTCCTTGATGGAATCACGAAGACGATCTCTTTAGAACTTAGAAGGATAGTAATAGTCTCTGTTGTATCCCTCTTCAACAGCGTATTCAATGTCAAGAAAGTTATCTTTGTCAAAGTTCCAGTCAGGATTTAAAAACATGTCCTCTCTTTTACACATAGGACCCCAACGATGACAACAAGAACACAATTGGGTACTGTACACATAGCGACATCATCGGAGATGGTTTGGCCACCATCTCCGGTGCAATCCTTGCCGATAGCAGGCAAGGAAATAAGGGCCTCCCTATGGAGGTTGAACCGATGTTTTTCTTTTCTTGTTTCTGTTTTTACCGGGGTGACCAGGTAAAAGCTGGTTATCCAAAAATCTTGTAATATTTAAATCTTTTTGCTTGAAATATCCAATGAAAATTGAATTTAAAATATCTTAGCACCCAAATATATGGCATTTAATGTATCATGTATAAAAACTAATTGTTGTTCTAGTGGTTAATGAGCTGCCTTTTCTCCCCAAGGGCGTAGGTTCAATTCCTTACTCATTCGCCAATCATCTTTTTTCCAAGTGCGAGCACGCTCGTCTCCAACTTGCCTATAATAGTTTGCCTTTATAAGCCATACAAATTCTATTTCAAACAATCCCGTCGTAAGACACCAATTTTTTTGGGGACCAACGGGATTTCTAGTAACCGGCCCATTACTGAAAAATCCAATCGAAAAAAGCACATTGGGTTGAAAAGCAGAATTGGAAGCATTTTTTCCTTCGATCTTCAACTTACGAAGCCAAGGCCAGTGCGGTGGCTAGAAGGTCAACTTCAATACCCTATGGACCGCCAGATCTAAACGAGCCGAGTGTAGATCCGTCGTCTTCCGCTCCATCTCTATGCGGGCCAAGGAAGACGGGAGAGACGATTGCATTAGCTTGGTCTCACCAGCCGTGGAGGAGCCTTCACCAGATCCACCACCAACGACCATCATCAATCATAGAATATGACCAATAGAGAGAGCCGATGACCACCAAGAGCCGCTAGTGAGCGCCAGGGCACAACTCAAGTACAGCATCAAGCCAATTGCCCTAAGGCGAACCTATACCTATACCTAACCCTACACTAACTAGGCAAAATGGCGGCACGACTGCTTCTTTTATCCCCACTGTGTTGCGCAATGTGTGTGATCCCCCAATTTGAGAATGGCAGATTGGTGAGAACTCTCCCTGTGCGAAACTGCATCCCGTTTGCTTTAGTAAGGACATTATTGATTAATGGAGGAAATGCCTCAGTATTGCAACATATAACCACTTTAAACGATGGAATTGGCAAATGGTAGTATACATTATAAGGCGGTGCCTCCCTGGCAACAGACCACATATATACCCGATTACTAACTGAGATGACAATAGTATACTTTATCCTAATTAGGTGGCTGCAACACGAATGGTGAAAATAATCCAAATAGGACCAAATGCAAAACCTTATTACACTAAAAGAACACCAAGACGAATGTATATTGAGTTGATTAGAAGTAGCAGCATCTATCACATATAGATAACAAAATCACTTTTACTACTGGAAGGAACTATTTGTATTACAAAATATTCCACTAACTTCAGCGACAAATGTGGTTTTATGTACTATCGTAACAACAAAGCAGTTTTACAGCGCCAAAGTCCTTAAATAGCTGACGAGTCTGGATCCACACACCGAAGGAAAAAAACAGCTTGAATAATTCCTACTGAGAATGCAGGTATCTTGACTTATTCAAGCGGCCTGGATCTGGCAATGGCAGTTACTAGCTCCGCTGTGGCCTTACCAAGCTCGAACTTGGTTACCCCGGCGAATCATGGTGAACTTCAAGTCGGTCAAGATTGGTTCTTACCAAGCCGCCATGTGGCGTCTACGGCGATTCTTGGCGTTAGAGTCCTTGACTCTCTTGGTGTGCCCACGATGCTTGCGCAAATCGTACTCGTCCATGAAGGTAAAGGTGGCTTTCTCTTTACGTTGAGATTTCTGTTCCAACTTTTTTCTATATAGTTTCTCATCTTCAAGTAGAGATTCTAATTCGTTACCAGCAAACTCGCCCATCCAACAAGGCGTGTATGAGAAAGATGAGTCAGTCTGTCCGCATGGTAGTTCGTTGAAGGGGTCATAATCTGTCAGACATGAAGTGCCCAAATCCTGGAATTTTGAGTTGTTCCAGTCATAGGCCAATCCCCTGGCTGATCTCCCTGATAAAATCAAGAAGACAACCTCTTTATAAGGATGAAACCCAAGGAAATAATAGTTGTCACGGTATCCCCCTTGAACATCATCTTCAATGTCAAGAATGTTATCCTCGTCGGAGTTCCAATCATATTTCTCTTCCACCGGCGCTTTGTAATTTGCATGTGTTGTGAAAGCAGCGTCCTCAGGGTATTTGGAGGACCACTTGCGGTAGTTAACATCCTGCAAGATCCATCGTTTGGCCAGTTGTCGAGCATAGTCCTCGCGTTCAAAGGTCTTTCCAAGAAAGGTATCATGTTTTAACACCCACTCAATTCGACCGATGGATTCATTGAGATACCAAAGCTGAAGTTGATTCCAGCCATTAAGTATCGCACCAGATGGTGGTTGGGATAGCCTCTCAATTCACAGGCACCTGGTAGCTTAATCACTGTGAAAGTGAGATCTGACAAGGACATCCTGCAAATATGAACAATCGGATAAACAGCTTAATAACAACATAAAGTGGATCATACTAGTAGTATATACTCCTATTTGCTAAATTAGGATGACCACCGAGGAGCAAGTAAGTAGCTAGTACCTTGTAAGATAGCCATGCCGGCAATGAATGTAGAGCGTGCTTTGCCAGTAGACGGCATGATAACGATGCTGTTTATACCACAAATCCGAATCCATGTTGCCGACGATCCGTGCAGCCTCCCCTTCCCGAAGGAAGGTCGTCTCGCCCCACTGTTGTGTCACCGAAGAGAACACATGCATCACGTATGACGCGGGAGGCCACTCGTCGTCGTCCGATTCGTCGTCATCCGATTCGCCGGCCGGTGGCAAGCGTGGGATCAGAAAGACCTGGTAGTGTGGTGACACGGCGGGATCGAACGCGAGGTAGGCGGTCTGGTCGAATCCCGGCACGTGCGGCCGAGGGCGATGGGTCAGACGCGCCCACCGACGCGTGGCCGGGTTGACGACGTACTCACGCGGCAGCGCACGGTCCTCGTTCATCCGTTCGCCGCAGAGCAGGAGCCCGTTGCAATGGTCCGTGACCTGGACGCCCATGCAGGGCAGGAAGTTGAGCCCCCCGCAGATCGCCGGGCCCGTCGAGGGGCGGGAGAAGAACTCGGAGAAGCAATGCCGGGTGAAGTTGATGAAGATGCCGCGCACCGACCGCGAGAGCAGGCTGCCGCGCAGGCGGGCGTCGACGGCGTCACGCCACGCCTTGCAGACCCGCCGGGCCGCGGCCAGGACGTGTGGCGCGAGGCGCCGGAGGACCTCCGCGAGGGCGTCGTCGGGTAGCACGGCCGGCTCCGATGCCATCGTCGATGGGTCGATCTCGTTCGCGCCGCTCGGTCTGGTTTCCCGTCGTCCGCGATCGCGCACGTACGCGGCGCGGTGCTCTAGGGCTTGCAAGTTTGTTGGCGAACTATATATTGGAACGAGGTGCAAACAAACCTTGGACTGTTGATGTATCGGACTGCTTGCCGGCCCGGAGTATATATTGGAGATCAAAGCTGAAGTTCGTTGGAAATTGGGATCTGTCTATCCGTAGGATTGCGGATGCTAGGGCCGCCTTTGAATGGGTCTCGTTTTCGCGTTGACTTTAAAGAACCACTGGGACTAGCTAGGGACGGAGGCGTTGACCGAAATCATTAATTAAAGAGTATTCGTTGCAAAGAACACTCCACTCTCCAGGTCGTGACAAGTGGCGCACATGCAGCGCGACACTTGTCGCAACCTGGGAGTTTTCCCTTTTTTCATAGATTTGTTTATTCAAAACGTTTTATCTCTTAAATCGTGCGTCCAAATCTTGAACCGTTTTCATCATTGGATTCCTTGCGTCGAGATCTTCAAAACTACTCCCTCCGTTCTAAAATACTTGACTTCCATTTGTCCAAAAATGGATGTACCTATGTACTAAAACATGTCTAGATACATCTATATTTTGACAAATGGGAGGCATGTATTGTGGAACGGAGGGAGTAGATCCCATGTTGATAGGTTTTGACAAACTTTTTTTCACAAAAAAAACTGGGCGAAAAAACCGAACCGGGAGCATGATTTTTTTCCCTTTCCGAAAGAGGCACGCCCATGCCTCTCGCGAAATCATAACCGTGCCTCTCGTGAAAGCAAAACCGTGACTCTCGTGGAAGAAAAAAAATTAGAAAACATGTTTTTTTTTCGTTTCCGAGAGGCACGGCCGTGACTCCCGCGAAGGCATAACCGTGTCTCTCGCTAAAGCAAAACCGTGACTCTCGCGAAAGAAAAAAAAACAGAAAACACGTATTTTTTCCCCTTTCCTAGAGGCACGGTCATGACTTTCGCGAAAGCACAACCGTGCCTCTCGCGGAAGCAAAACCGTGACTCTCAGAAAGAAAAACAAGCAGAAAATGCGTTTTGTTTTTCCCTTTCCTAGAGGCACAGTCGTGACTTTCGCGAAAGCACAAC